TGCGGGTCTCGAACCCGCAGGCTCAGGCAATCCATTCACCTCAGCCTCCCAAAGGCACGGGATTACAGGCTGAGCCACCGAGCCCGACACAGAGTTTATTTCTTAAAATAAGATTTGGGTTTGTTTTCTCAACAAACTTTTAAATCTAAACTTTCTTAACTTCTTATGCTCGTATAGAATTATGAAAGATGCAAAATTTGTGTTCAATTAAACAGAATCATAATTCTGACAATTTTTCCTGACAATATTAGTTATTTATAGTCTATCATCTATTAGTGGTTTCCAAGTCACTTAAAATATGCTGAACCGTGGTTGGTGGCTCACGCCTGTAATCCTAGCACTTCGGGAGGCAAAAGTGAGAGGACTGCATGAGTCCAGGGGTTTGAGACCAGCCCGGGCAACTTGGCAAGATCTTGTCTCTACAATAAAATAAAAAATTAGCAGGGTGTGGTGGTGCATACCTGTGGTTCTAGCAACTTGGAAGGCCGAGGTGGAAGGATCACCTGAGCCCAGCAGGTCAAGGCTGCGGTCACCATGAGTGTGCCACTGTACTCCAGCCTACGTGACAGAGTGAGACTCCAACTCAAAAACGAAACAAAACAAAAATACTCATACTACATTTTTATAGAAAGTTCAATTTTTCCCCATAGTTGGGAGAATGCTTGAGGAAGACCTACAAATTAAAGCTGTCACTTAGGTTTAGGGAGAAAAGATCTTTGAAAACGGGATGCATTTTCACACATGCTGCTTTACCAATGTATTTCTGAGGTTTAGGGTATATATATATCAGCCTCACACAACGGAGTGGTCTGAAGTATATCTTGGAAAGGAGAGAAAATATTATTGAATATATTGATTCAGAGATTTCATTTGGCATTCTACAGTATTCCTCAGTCACTTACATTAAAGCAAAAAAACAAACAAAACAAAAAGTCTCTGACTCCAGGAACTGTACCTATCTAGACCAGATTGGAGAAAGCAAGACTGTTTAGAGCTTTTGCAATAATCTAGATGAGAGATAACGAGAGCCTGAATTAAGGAAAGTGCCTGAGTTAATAGAGAAAAAGATTGTAGAGATACTCAGTTGGCCGAATCTGTGCCTGTCTAAGTGGATGTAAGGGGTTGGTGAAATACAGAAAATACCTAGGAAGACTTCCCAATTTTCAGACTGGGAAACTGGGCAACTAATCATGCCATTCATTTAGACAGAAGATAATAGGAGGAACCACAGCAGACTAATGAAGGAGAGGAGCTCCTTTTTGAAATGATGCTATGTATGGTATTGTGAGATGTTCCAGCAAAAATACCCAGTAGGTGCTGAGAATACAGGTCAGGAACCCAGAGACATGTTCGCACTGAAGACAGAAGCTGGAAGTCACAGCCCAGCTGAAATACACAGAAGGATCCTGAGGAAGAGGAACACCGAGGAAAGAAATGAACGTAAGACTGAGCAGAGCAGTTAGGGTGGCAGGAGAAAAACCCAGAGAGGATACTGTCAGGGGAGCAACAAGACGAAAGAACTTCGAGAAGAAAGCAAATGATGGTGTCAGATGCTTCGGAGACAGGACGCGTGAAACACGGGATGCTCGACCCACACAGTGCGCCGAGTCCACGAAAACCGCTCAGAAAAGTGACAGGTGTGGAGCTCAGGCTGAAGCCCGAACGGGGGCGAGGGAGTGGAGGCAGAAGTGCACGCAGGGCCGGCCAGGAGAGCAGAGGCTGCGCTCTCAGCACATGTGACCACCGGCCAGAGAGAGGGAAGACTGCAGGGTGGGCAGGGCTGGAGGAGCATTTCCTGTTTAAAGATTAGAAAGACTTGAATATATTTATGGCTTAGGAGAAAGAGAAGGTCACAGAAGAGGTTCTCAAAACATGTGGAAATTGGTTTTAAAATATGCTGCCTTGGCTGAGGGTGGTGGCTCATGCCTGTGTTTTTGACACTTTGGGAGGTCAAGGTGAGAGAAGTGCATGAAGCCAGGAGTTTGAGACCAGTCTGGGCAACATAGTGAGACACTGTCTCTACAAAAAAAATATAAAAAAAGTAGCCAGGTGTGGTGGTGTATGCCTGTAGCCCCAGTTACTTGGGAGGTTGAGACTGGAGGATTGATCACCTGAGCCCAGAAAGTCTAGGCTGCAGTGAGCTATGATGGTGCTACTGCACTCCAGTCTGGGTGACAGAGTAACTTAAGACATACAAACAAACAAAAAAAAAGCATGCTGCTTAAGAAGACAGAGTGAGCGAGTTGGGGAGGGTAGGTGTCAGTGTGTGCCATTTGCGAGCCAGCGGGCAGAGGCATTGAGCATTAAATGCTCCAGAGGTCTGGCGGTTCTGTGACTGATGTAGGTTTAATAAGTCACAAGACCCTATCTTCTTGGTCCAGTTTTACCTGAGAGATAACACATTAAAAAGAAAATTCAGTTTTTGCTGAAGTTTGGAATCTTTAATTTCTACTTCACTGGTCTCTAATGTTTGCTTAAAACAAATTTTATAAGTGCATTTGACTTTCATTTAATTTATTCAGCCGGGCTCGGTGGCTCAGCCTGTAATCCCGCGCCTTTGGGAGGCTGAGGTGAGTGGACTGCCTGAGCCCGCGGGTTCGAGACCCGCCTGGGCAGCACGACCTCATCTCTATAATAAATAAAAAAATCAGCCGGGCGTGGTAGCGCATGCCTGTAATTCCGGCTACTTGAAGGATTGCCGGAGCCCAGCAGGCGAGGCTGCGGTGGCCGGGAGCGGCCACTGCACTCCAGTCTGGGCGACAGAGTGAGACTCCAACTCAAAACAAAAAACAAAACATTTAATTTATTCATATGAACCATTTTCAGGCATTCAAGGCCAACTGCAAATTCAAGCGGATACTCACAATCCGAACAAGCCAGGACAAGGTCGATGTTGCAGTTGAGTAGTGGGTGTTATAATGGTAGGGAGGGCTCTGGTCATCTTCCCATGTCTCGTAGCGCTCTGCGTAGAACACAGCTCTCTTTGGATTCAAAGCACCAACTGGCTATAAAAAAAGACAAACATTGACATTCTAGATGATCAGGCTGTCATGAAGGCATTTCACTACTAATTAATTTTAACCACAGAGCATAAATAAATCGCTTTGCATTATATTTCTACCCATACCGAGTTTTGATATCACATCATTATACTTGATAAACTTGGTCAGAAGGATGATTCATATGTACCAGGTTTTTAGATTTTACTGAAAGTTTCAGTAAACGGATCCGGTTTAAGAAGTTACAGCCAAATCAATAGATTTAATGTTATTTCCCTGTCTACTAGACAACCTACGTAGTGAACATTTAGCCTGGAGTTCAGGAAATCCAATGAGGAGAAGTGAAGCAGTCGACTATCTGAAGCCATATTAGAAAAACCTTAGCTTCGTAGCGGGTAACCCAGAATGTAAAAGACAACTGCCTGTTATTTGGAAACTCTTCTGGAATATTACTCCCATTATGTTACTATACAGATGGAGCACCTATCCCTTTTATTAAATTAAACCACAAACCTAATGGTTATGGAGAAATCCAGACAATTCAGGCTTCTGGGAAGGCATTTTGCTCAGGCCACTAAGACCTCTCCTACTAGTGCCACTGCATGACTTACAGATTATGATTACGATTATGTGGAGTATGCAGTAAATGCTTAGGGTATGACTTTTTCCTTCAATAAAGCATGTGTTCACTGAATCGCTGCCTCACACTTCTTGGCATATCTAATCATTAAGAATTTCGAGCACAGGATCCTTGTTTCAAAGAGCAAATTGCTTTGGTTTAAGTTTTTGCCTGATTTTGGCTTACAGGTATATGGAGTCCAGTCTTATGATATCAGATAACCACATTATTTTGTCTTAGGTTACATACTATCAAAATAAATGTTTACATAGAAAGCAAAAGACGAGTACTAGGTATAATATCTAACTCCTTTAATTCAAAATTTAATATTTTCAGTTAACTATGGAGATTCCCCCCAAGGCTTAATTTTAACAAGAGAAGTGGTAGAAAATTAGTGCTTCAATGGGACACATAATGGTACATAAGAGAGAAAGATTCATTTACAAATTGCTGTGAGCCTTTTCTTTTGGTCTCAGGAGACTAATTCAAATAACACAAAGATGTCAGCAGTTAAAAGTCTGGTAGAATTTCCACAATAAACTCTTATTTGCAAGGTTTCTCATCTTGAATATTACAATTATTTTTAAATCATGTCCATTTTTTGTTAGTTTTATGATTTAACAAAGACTAAATAATTATTTTTTAAAAGCTTTATTTCTTGTGCATGAGAGTGTTAATATTTTAACGATCTTAAACTGTTTTGTCTTCATTTTTGTAAAACAAAGTATGAAAATATAAAATTTTAGTTTAAATGTATTGTTTGAATGCTCTAAGGCTTAAACTTCATTCTGTGCTAAATTTCATTGGTTATTTCTCAAAAGATATAAAAAAGGCACTATAATTTTATTAGACCTCACATAAAATCTTAATAATTTTAAAAACACGTATCTAATTACTTTTTTGATAAAAGGGTAATTACTACAAAGTAAAATGAACATAAGCTCTGTTACTGAATTGAAGTAATGAGTTTTTCATTTAAAACTGCCTACATAGGCTGTGCTGATGGTTTATACCTATAATCCCAGCATTCTGGGAGGCCGAAGCAGAAGGATCACTGGAACCCAGGAGTCTGACACCAGCCTGGGCAATATAGCAAGACTCCATCTTTACAAAGAATTAAAAAAAAAAAAACATTAAAATAAAATTGCCTACATATTTTATACTTTACTTGCTCTACAGATATTTTAACTCAAAAAGTATATTTTTTCAAAGCATTTAAAATGTTTAATACTTTGTCTAGCAGGAGTATGCTAATAGTTCTTTTACATGCATAAAATATGTGCACAATCCCTAGGGACCCACCTTATTTGATATTGTTTGTTCTGAAAAACCTCACAAAACATTCTCGAATAAGGAGCATGGCTCTAATCTTTTCCAGCCATCTCCTACACTACTGAAAGGGGCTAAAATAAATATTTCCATTTTTTTTTTTTTTTTTTGAGTTGGAGTCTCACTCTGTCGCCCAGACTGGAGTGCAGTGGCCGCTCCCGGCCACCGCAGCCTCAACCTGCTGAGCTCCAGCGATCCTTCCGCCTCAGCCTTCCAAGTAGCCAGAATTACAGGCGCATGCTACCACACCCGGCTAATTTCTTGATTTATTGTAGAGATGAGGTCTCGCCTGCTCAGGTGGGTCACGAACCCGCGGGCTCAGGCAATCCACTCACCTCAGCCTCCCAAAGGCGCAGGATTACAGGCTGAGCCACCGAGCCCGGCTATATTTGCATTTTTAATTTTACTCAAGTTTCATCAAAGTTAATGTATTGGAGTGCTGTACAGATAATACTTTGTGGGAAACAGCTGACAGCATTAAAGTCTGTATATGCCTCCAGTAGGAATGTCTTAAAATATACTTCTAAGTTTGAATTTTTACATAATGTAGTTAAAAATGAGTATTCTAAAACATAATGTAAACAACTTGGTTTATACTATTTTCCTATCATTTTGTTTCTAATAGTCAAAAAGCAAAGAGTCATTTGAAAGAAAAAAACTTCAAAATGTTTGGGAAAAGAGAATTTTGTCACAGATAACATATTTTCTTTGAGATACAAACATATATATCTCATACTATATCATATCATATTTATCCATCTGTCAGTCAATTATCTACCTATCTACTTAACCCCCTATGAATAAGGATATAAGTTTGCTATTCTTTTAAAACTTGAGGAAATACCACAATGTCAATACCATTTAAATTTAGTGGATAAATAAGGTAAGCATTTTGGTGGAAGGTAAGGCTACACAGAATGAAATGTATTTATTATGTATGTATGTATGTATGTATGTATGTATGTATGTATGTATTTATGAGTTGGGAGTCTCACCCTGTCACCCAGGTTGTAGTAGTGGCATGCTCATGGTCAACCACAGCCTCAATCTGCTGGGTTCAGGCGATCCTTCCTCCTCCGCCTTCTAATGTAGTTGGAACTGTAGCTGTGAGCCACCATGCCGAGCTAATTTTTTGATTTATTGTGGAGATGAGGTCTTGTCAAGTTGTCCAGGATGGTCTCGAACCCCTGGGCTCAGGAAATCCTCTGACCTCTGCCTCCCAAAGTGTTGGGATTAGAGGCGTGAGCCACTGCACCTGGCCACTTAATGAAATTTAAAAATTTACTTCGCAGTTTTTTTTTCCATTTTTGACAAAGTTACCATACCAAGAGCTAGTTTCCTTCTCTGTCAAACAGTAAGCATTTGGATACAGCTATCCCTATGTTTTTTAGGTGATGCCACATAAAAAGGTTTAATTGAAAGTTCAAAACTTGTTTTTAGATTTATTGCTATTTTGTCCTTGTGAGTTTTTGTTACAAATGAACCCTGTAACAGATAACAGAAAATAATGCAAACATATAATACAAAAAATATAATAATATAATACAAAGTTTCTGTTCTCATAAAAATTTATTAATATAATTCAGTTTTAAAACTGAATACATAATACAAACATATAATACAACATATAATACAAACATATAATACAAAAAATATAATAATATAATACAAAGTTTCTGTTCTCATAAAAATTTATTAATATAATTCAGTTTTAAAAGCTGCTATAAAGCCTACATAACTTGCAAAAAAGCACTGTGTTCAATATGAATGGGTGACTAATGCAGGAAAAGTCTCATTTCTTACACAATCTGTGGGAAATTATATGCATAATGTTACCATGTCTATGTGAAAACCCACTGTAACTTATTTTTACTTTTCTCCTATGGTCTTGCCTGAACTATTGTAATTACTGAAGAAATAAAGTTGAAGATTTTCTCTACAACTATCACTGAATTTTCCCTTTTTAGAGACCAAAGAGAGAAATCTCTCTCAGAATTAAGTGCCATGAAAAGTTTTGTTTTCCTAAAATAACTCTGTGCTTACTATATGAAACAACAATCTTGAGAGATGTTTGCAAAGATTTATATTATTAAAGGCTCTGAAAATATCACTGTAAACAGAATTGTTTAAATTTGTTAACTCCAAGGTTTCCTTTTATTTTATTCTATTTACTTTCTACAAGAACCTCATCCTTCTTTTTGTTCTCATAACAACTGTTAACCTACAACAGAACCAGTGCTCCTTAGATTGCACCTTGGAAAATTCCGGTTAGAATCCTTTTGGTGTGTATTTCTAAGTACTACGTTTTTCTTTGTTGTCATTTTCCTATTTTCCCTTTCTGTTCTCTTATCCTTGACCCAGCAATATTTTTTTATCTTAGAAAATCTTGCAAGTTTTATCAAGTTCTTTTTTTTGAACAGGTATAAAGTATATAAATCAAATAAGCAAAAATGACTAATAAAAATTACATAAATAAAAATACTGGATCAATGGTATTATATGAGACATTAGAGGGACTTTTAGAGAACAAAAAAGTCTGAGCACAGAGCTAGATTGATTTGAATAAATAAAAATAAATGTGTATTGATTTGAGAAATGGTCAATGCCATCAAAGCAGATTATAATTTGAAGAATTAAACGTTTTCAAGGAGAAATCAGAGGTCTGATTAAAGCAATGTTAACAGCACTGGATTCTAATATAGCATTAAAAAACTGAAAATGCTCAAGATGGTCATGGTAATAGGATTCTACTCGTACACAGGTTGAGCATTCCTAATCTGAAAATCAGAAACCTAAAATATTCCAATATCCAAAACTTTTGAGCACCAGCATGATGCCAGAAGTAGAAAACTCCAAACATAAGTCATTATTGCAAACTTTGTTTCATACATAAAATTATTAAAAAACACTGCATAAAATTACCTTCAGGCTATGTGTATAAGGCATATTACGAAACATGAATGAATTTTGTGATAAGCCTTGGGTCCCATCCCCAAGATATCTCATTATGTATATACACATTTTCCAAAATGCAAAAAAAACCCCACAAAAAACTGAA